ATGTGTTTACTTATCGTGCGATTTGTCTGTTCACTCAAACACACTTGAGTAAACACTGACCAAAGTAAATCAAGACGAATGAAAAAAAAAACTGTTTATAATTACGGCTCAAAGTGAGGTGTTGTATGGCTGGCTACACAAGTAGGGCTGTCTATTTTATCGATCCTTAACTGTAATTTAAAATGCGAAGAAGATAACACGGATTGAATAGCTATGCTCTCAGTTTGATATCTTTGATAAGACTGACATCATATGAAAGATTTGTGTCCATGTCAACATAAAGTTCAACCCGTGAATCTGTTTTATCAGTTGAACACTGTATTGTTGAGGCGTTTTATAGTTCGTTTCGTCATGTTCACGATTTCATGCCAACAAAAAACGTCTTTAAAAATGAACATTTTCTTCATCGAGTATTTTCTAAGGAACTTTGCTCGTTGTTGATCGCTTATCATTACAAAAAATCAGTCTGTTTATAAGAGTGAAAGATGACGAATGGCTTAATTTCGTCAAGCAGATTCGATTCTGTGAAGAGCTAATTGTTTTGTTTCAGTTTTGCTTTATTCCTTCCTAATATTCACTGATGTTTCAGTGTCCTTCGCTAATAGAAATAACTCTTTATCGGTTTTGGTCCATCTTCAGTGCTTTACTATGCCATATGACGTGTAGAATTTTTCGGCATTTCATATTCGATGAGGCTTCATCTTTAAACAAACATAACTTCGGTTCTGTTCTCTTCATCTATCGCCACAAAATTAAAAGCCGGGAAATTCGATAGCATCGCTGAAAAGTGAGCGATATCTTCACAAATTAGCCAGCCACATCACTGCAGATTATATCTCGCTTGATGATTTCCATATGTATGTAGTATCTATCATCTGGCAGTGCTAATTCCAGCCAGTATATTCGTACATTTATTGTGCTATTGAAACGTTCCGTGTTCTTTTTCTTCTGTTTTATTGTGTTNACACCAATATGACGCATTTTGCATTATTTTATACTGATTGTGAGCGCTTTTATTGGTATTATGATGAGTGTCGCTGTTACTTTCATCCACAGTGTGACGATAAAACCTCCGTTAGCCATTCAGTATCAAATATGATTCTGTTGGTTGAATCAGTGATGAAATCCAGTTACGCGAGTATTTCTTTCGAATATTGTACAGAAATGTTCTATCCAATTTCATTAGATGGCGTTCAACATTCCATCTGCCAGTGAGAAAGAAACTTCAAAAAACTTTTGTTAATGTTTGAAAGTTGAATCGTTTCGCAATTGAAGATAACGACGAACGATGATTTTATAAGTTTCTTCACAGTGATTTTACATCTTTTTAATGTTGACTCAAAATTCAAACATTGATTTTATGATAAGCGTTCAATTGGAGGAGCGTACGTTGCGTTAGAATTGATAATGTATGATTACTAACAGAATGGTGGGAGATAAATGTATGAATCATGCTCGATAAACGTCATGAGATAGCGTTTTATTACAGCTCATTATTGTCTGATTGCTCACTGAACTGAAATCACCTGAAACAAGCGTGCATATATATGAATAGATAGATAAATGNAAATGTGAACGCATGTCCACATCACTTCCGAAATTTCGAATGTCACCACCTCTTATGGACATTATCGTTTCATTTCCTTTCTTTTCTCATATTCACTGTCTTCAGTTATGATTTTTGATTTGATTCGACAAAATTTTTGACGTATAATGCAAAGCATTTTAATTTTTGGCTCGTTATTTTCCTCAACAAGATATTTCCTCTGTTTCAAGGCACAGAAAAAAAAGTAAATTCATTCTGAATGATTAATTTGTTATAGAGTAAATTTGAACAAAGTTGATTTGGACAGGTGTTCGAAATCAAGGTTTTGGTACTTTGCTATGTGATTAACGGTAAAAAATATAATGTCTTGCAATGAAAGTGTTTCTTTAAGACGTGTAATTCCGTTGCATTTTCATCTGTTTGTGTTCAGCAGATGTACCTTGGTAGCATTCTTCGGTCAAATAAAATTGTCCTTGTTGTGCATCTTCACATCCACATCGTTCAGCGAAAATTCTCATCCAGTTTTGGCTAGCAATAAATCNTTTGCGAAAAAGTTTGTAGCGTCAGCCTGACTGAGATTGACTGATGGCTTTGCAGTCGATAAGCTCTCAGTAGGTCAAGTCTTACTGTGACGCATTTTTGCTGATAAGAGTCCAATTTGCGATATTCCCATGCCTTTTTATCTATCTGAGCATTTTATTTTAATTTTTACTGGATGCGAGTTTATAAAATGTTTTTTCGTTTCTGAAATTATCATTTGAGATTTTTGAAACGTTAAAATGATCATTTAAGAAGATTGCAAATTGCAAACATTGCAAAATACACAATTCGTTTTGAAATGTTTTTTAGCGCTGAATTTGCAGCTAGCTATAAGGAAGGATCAACATATGTTGTATAAGGAAACGTGCAGCGATTGCTTCGATGTAAATCACTGATCATCACAATATGTATCCAATAAAAAATGTCGTTTGGCAACGAATATCGTCTAGTTGTGATATTCAGAGGCAACACATTTCTAATCCATATCGCGTCAAGCGGCCAGTCGCTGAATATCGCAAGATGGAAAGGATTAGCATGTTTGGGACGAAATAAAAGAATTTAGAACGAAGGCAACCTCAGACTGGTTTCATTATAATCAGTCGTACTGGTAGCTAGCTGTAAATGCATTGATCGGGTATTGATTCAGTCGCGTTGAGAATTTTAGTGAATGCTCTTCTATGTGAATGCTACCGCTCTAAGCATCTCTGCATATCCTATAAATCATTTCAAGTAATCACATTGATTGATCAAGTGACTAGTCTATGATCCCTGATGGATATCACTCTTTTTTCATCTTTTACATCTTTTACAAATTGTTATCCTGATTGTGCACCAATCAATTGATCCAATTACTCACTTCATCCGCATCACAGTGATTAATTGTTTCAATTGTTTTCCTTGTTGAAGATATGTCATTGTAGAATGCGAGATTATTGATCAGATTTCCATGTTCCGCTCATTTTTTGTGAATCGGAACAAAATTGATTGGTGACGAGCACCCGAGTACCACTTCCTTATGAGTTATTCGATATCACATTTGTCGTTCATATTTTTACTGCACTCAGTGCTTTTCATAGGACACAAATTCGTTTCCATAATCGACTAATGCTGTCTCGAGCATTCATCACTAAGTATCCTATATGCAGTAATATTTCAGAATCCGTTATTCCAGCCGGTCTCAACTCGTTGTCGGCGAGCACGTAATTCAACTCAAGTCAGCACGAATCATACCACCAACAATTCAGCAGCGAAAATGGGCAATACGGACGTTGCACGCGAAAGTTCGAGTTGTAGTTCCGGGAGCAGTCCACCGCCCATGTCGACTGAAGATGAAAGGCATGTAAATTTGATTGATTCGTCGTTTTTTCGTTTTCTGGTCATAACTTTCATTCGTTTTAGTACTGTCATTTCATGAATTTTGATTGGAATATGATACCAACGGTTTCCAGCTTTTATTTTTATCATAATGAAAATCTACCTTACGCTGAGCTAAAAATGTCACTGGACATTATTCTTTGGGCATGTTTTCTAGTAAATACATGTTAATAGATAGCGTTGATGGTGAGGGATTCAGAATGAGTCTTTTTTGAACTCGAATCTGATCGAGTTGATACGAATTTCAGCGTCTCTCCTCAGAAATTGCTGCACAACTCGTCGACATTGAACGGCTACAAAGACGTCTCAAGCAAGAAGCCACCTATAACTGCACCCAAACCAATAATCAGATCTTCGGCTATTAAAGTATGATATTGTTATTATTGCTTCGAATGCTGCTCGTTTATTTCACGATTGGACGTGGGCATCGCTATTGCTGATGATTTTTATTGTACACAGCACTCCTTTGTTTTCACTACGATCTGACACGCTCAGATGACCTATTAACACGGCAAATACTCAAATAAACAAGCAGTTTGCTGTTGTTTGTTATCTTAGAGTTCCAAAGCTTCTTATTCTCTCGTCTNTATTCACAATGTTACGCATAACCTTAGTAGCTCAGATGGTAGGAACGTATTTAGTTCAATGAAATTCTTTACACATTGCAAAACTTGAAGTTAATGGAGTTTGAACGAATATTATCATTGCTGCTACTTTAGATTGCTAGAGCCGACTCGAGCAGTTCGGAGCACGTAGCCAGATCACCATTCAAGCAGACATTGGCCGAAAGCGGAAGTCTGAATCGCCATCGTGAAGAATTATTTTCACCTGAGATTCGAAGACGATGTGAACTCCCGGTCTCGTCCAAGTTAGTTATTGCTGCAAGTTTGTTCTGAATCTTGTTTGATAGGCAACCAAAATTTTGAGCTGAATCAATTAGAGGAATAGAATATAAACAATTGAGAGATGAACTTTCAGACTTCGAAGTTCATTAGCAAATCTTACGACGGATGAAAGCGACGATGGTCGTGCATCGCCTGTTGCGCCTTTCATTCAGCGGTTCAATTCTAAGGTTTATTGTGAACTCATTTTTTGAATCCTGCTGATTTCTTGTACTTTTTGTTTTATCTCGATTTCCTGTTTATTTTTTCGGAGCAAATAAATTTTTTTATGTGAGTCATTCCAGGTCATACAAATAAACTCGTTGGTTTCTTTCAAATGTTCGAGACGAAAACATTTTTCATTTCTTCAGAAAATTTTTACTGTTTCCAACAGCACCGGAAAACCTTTGCTGTT